TAAAGAAACATTTATTTGTAACTATTCGAAACGACTTAAAATATGCGAAATAATTTCTGAAAAATTATTTCTAAAGAAAATATTTCAAATTATATTTAATTTATTTTTTTTAGAAAATGACTCAAAAAGACAATCAATTTTTTCTGACAAAAAAATCTTCAACACAACACCAAGTGCTTTTCTTTTTTTTACATTTTATCTTCCAACATTAACGATATGTATTTTATTTTTAGAAATTATTTAATTTTTATAATGAATAAAATTTTAACACATTTTATTTAAAAAAATTTAAAGACAATTTTTTTTGAACATACAAATTTTAGAAACATGCATATCAAAAATATATGTGTGTGTATGTGAAAATTTATAGAGATTTTGTTTTCAATGATCTTTTTTTTTTTGGTTCGTTTTTATGTAGAGATAGAGCAAAGGCATTTGGAGTGATGATTTTTTTGACTTTATACTAGATATGAGAAGTTTAATATTTTGTTTTTTTTTTGTTATAATAAGGGGAGCATACCTAGCTACAAAAAATTATTAGAAGTAAAAAAATGGGTTTCAAAATCGACGGAGCAGACAATAAAATATCCAGCACCACTTTATTCAGAGGTTTTAAATATCTTGTTGCCGTATTAATTCTAAACCCGATTGGGCTCAGCATTAGAAACATTGAAGAGGCAATGTAGGGCTCTTCCCGAAAAAAATATTTTATTTATAAAAATTTTAAATTTCAAATACCTAATATTTTATTGATAGAAATAAAAATATTACACTGTGCGACAAAATTCCAGTTATTCAATAATTTCAGGAAACTCCAGCAGATTATGAAAGTAGTGCTAAAAAAGAAGACACGTGTATCGGCGTTTTGAAAGTTAACATCGGAAAGTAACCTAAATTGAAGGCGTTAGTACCCACCTCTTCCACACTTTTAGAAATATTCGGATTTAGACTCCTTGGAATCCATACATTTTAGGTATATAGCGTATCTAGCAATATTTCAGATAAAAACGATGAGGTTCCTCGCTTCATTTCATCGCTTCATACCAATCCGTTGGACTATTGTGTCTGGAGTATTTTGGAAAGCAAGGTTGGCACTAAAAAATTGGAACAAATCTAAACTTATTTTAAGAATTGATGATATTTCCGATATGTTTTGGTTTCATTCAATAAAATTTAAAAAAATGTAAAAATTATGGCGTTTGACTTTGTTGCAGTTTTTTATCTCACCCTGTATTATTTTCCATTTTATTGTATTGTATTATTATCCATTTCATAAATTGTGAATATCGAACCTTGACGAAACCTTCTCTATATATAAAAAGACCCCTTCTACATTTCCACATTTGTGGCACTGATTATAAAATTGTCCTCTCCGCCGATGTCAAGAGTTTGTTTTGTTGTTGGAAATCATAAATTTTTCTATCCTTTTTTGCTTATCTATTTCTTTTTTTCAATTGCTATCTAGATGTATATAGTAGTTCATTTTGGATACTACATCGGTTTTGTTTTTTTTTTTGGGGTAGGTTCTTTGATGCTACTATTTGTTTGATAAGGTACTTTAACTCTCATGAAAATTGTTATTAAGATTAAATACTTAAAGTTAGCTTATAGATTATAGTTATTATTAGTATTAAGTTATTTTTTCAAATACGAAAAAGGAAATTATGAAAAATTCTTATCAACTACATAACGTTTTATATAAACAAGGAATTTTTCACCCAATCGGAAGTACACACTAATATTTGGTGGGATTGATTGCTGGAAAAATATATATAACAGATATTTCGAAAAAAAACAACTCTTAAAAAAATTACGAAATAAAACGAAGAGAAAAATTATGAAAAGAGAAAAGTTGTATATAGCAAAAGAGAATTGTTATTAGTTATTTACAGTTAAGAGAATATATTTTATTGTTAGTTATTCTTGGGTAATAAATTCCTTATTTGAATTGATTTTTTTTTCATGAAAAAAAGAAAAAAACATTGAAAACAGTTTAAAACTAATGAGGTAATGTAGAAAACAGTTAAAGGATTTAAATGACAATCAGAGAAAAAGAGAGAGATAGAAATAGAGAGAGAGGGAGCATGTAGAGATATAACCTGTCGTAATACTCCATTAGACTCTGGTGGTTGTTTTGAAATGTTGATATAAAAAATACACCTATACTTTAAAACATATAAACTAAAAACAAGTAAAAAAAAACAGCTAAGTTCGGCCGGGCCGAACTTATTATACCCTCCACCATACGGAACTTGAAAATGTAAAAAAATCCGACGAAAAATACCGCTCAAATGAAAACCTTTATATGGACATGCACGAACAATTTTCTGTCGTAGGCTTTAGTATCTATTACGAATTTCAAATTCCAAATTTGAAACAATTCCGGTGAATAATGTCGCTAAAATCATCTGTAGTATCCATTATGAACTTCAAATACCAAATTTGAAAAAATTCCGGTGAATAATTTCGCTAAAATCATCAAAATACCGAATATCGGGAGATACCGTTATATGGGGGCTATACCAAAACGTGGACCAACGTGGGCCATTTTCAATACCAAAAGTCCTGCAGACATAATATACATTTGAGTAAAATTTTATCAACCTACTTCGTTTCGTTTGGAAGCCAGAGTGATTTCCACAGACGGACGAACATCGCTGATCAAGAATATATATATTTGTGGGGTCTAAAACGCATACTTTGAGGTGTTACAAATGGAATGACAAAATTAATATACCCTCCATACTGTGGTGGAGGGTATAAAAATTCAAAGCCTTTGGCTCGTCTAAAGACACGTTGTTTTTAGGTCGTCTTTAGGGACTCCCTGCTGTCAATTTGTCTGTAAAGACTCCCTGTCTTCAGCTAGTCTATAAACACACACCTTGACTTCACCTTGTCTATAAAAAATTTTCCTCTCAGCTCATCCGTAGCAACTCTTTCAAGCTTGTCTATAAAACTGTTTCCACATTTTCAGCTATATCTATAAAGCTCCCTTCAGTTCGTCTCTAAAGACTCTCTGGCTTCAGTTTATCTCTAAAGACTCTTTGGCTTCAGTTCGTCTCTAAAGACTCTCTGGTTTCGGTTCGTCTCTAAAGACTCTCTGGCTTTAGTTTATCTCTAAAGACTCTTTGGCTTCAGTTCGTATCTAAAGACTCTCTGGCTTCAATTCGTCTCTAAAGACTCTCCGCTTCAATTCGTCTCTAAAGACTCTCTGGCTTCAGTTCGTCTCTAAAGACTCTTCGGCTTCAGTTCGTCTCTAAATACTCTCGGGCTTCAGTTCGTCTCTAAAGACTCGCTGGCTTCCGTTGGCCTCTAAAGACTCGCTGGCTTCCGCTCGTCTCTAAAGACTCTCTGGCTTCCGTTGGTCTCTAAAGACTCGCTGGCTTCCGCTCGTCTCTAAAGACCCCCTGCCTTCAGCTCGTCTATAAAAAACTCCTCCCTTCATCTCACATATAAAGACTCTTTTAAGACTCTCTCCAGCTTACCTATAAAGCATACGCCCGATTAGCGAATTTTACTCTCCATTTCAATTCGAGCGATTTTGCATTCCAGGGCGTAGAAAAGTAGAGCATGTTCTATTTTTCGAAGAGCATTGTCGCTAATCTGTACCATAAATCGTCTGATAATGTTGTTGTTGTAGCAGTTCCTACTTCTGTGTTCGTGCTGATTCTTTTGAACCTGGTGCTACTTCTAATTCCAAATTTGAAGAAGGAAGCAACCTGTATAGTTTCTGTCTATGACAATACCGGAGTTGGGTGAATAGGTTTGGCTGGGTGGTCAAAGAGGTGCAGTGTATCATGTGGGCATGCTGTGCTGGTATTCTACACACTGTTGTCAAGTCGGGCTACGAATTGATGCGGCTGCACCATCCTTATCTTATTTGTGCCAAAACAACTCAGCATTGTGGGAGCAGCTCTCGCTCCTCAACTTCGATGGGAGTGGGTGGTCTCTGAGTTCAATATTAACTTTGTAGTCCTCCATGACTCCTGTGACAGCTTCAGATACTCGCCTCTATATTATCCTAGGGTATTAAGATTTTCTTTCCAGATGGTCTGTATGGATTCCCTTCCACTTGTTTGTAAAGGACACTCTTTCACTTAAAACACCCTTCGGCTGATCTACAATTATTTTCTTCTCATATGTTAAGATTTCCATCTTAGTTAAATGTTATCAGTATCAGGACGCAGAAACAAGCAATTGCAGATATGGCGATTTCCAATCTATAAAGGTTTACATTCAACCAATTCTCAAAGTATAGCCTCATTTTAATACAATGACATTAATACAAGTACCATATAGATAGATGTACGACACGACATGTACAATATTTATTTTCCAAAATTTGGTTCTCTTGTTTTACTCAGAATTATTCTTATTATGTATTCCGATTGGTAGGCTGAGTTTAATTTAGAGATTTGTCAGTACAACTCTGATACTCAACTCTGAATCCCTTAAAAATTTCAAAACTGTCACATCTGTGATTACAACAGGCTTTTGCTCTCAATTCAATATATAGGCAAGACAACAGTAGGCACTCGTGACTTCACTGAGCGTAATTCTATTCACACTCACAATCAGGGCCATTTAAAAACAATGTAATCAGAGAGTAACAAAAATGGGAGAACATAATTGGACAACTCTCTGCCCGGCCCAGGTTTAGTAGTTGAATGAATTGCTGCTAACGTTCGTAAATTCGTAAGTTGGAAAAGTTAAGAGACAATGAAAGAGAACACAGAGAGAATAGCTGAAAATATGAACGAAGGTATGCCATAGAAGAGAATATAACCAAATAAAATAAAACAAAAAAGAAAACAACATGAGCAACTTTCAAAAGTCTAGGGAAATTTATTCCATAGATAATAATAAAATAACAGAACAAAATGAAAAAACAAACGAAAATAATCATAATTACAAAACAAAATTGAGAGAAAATACACATTAATCAAGAGAAACAAAAATAAAATAATTAACATTTCTTATTTATTTAATGCTTAATATTAAGAAAGGGTCTTACATCTAAGAGAAAATAATTACACTATGTTTTTTGTTTGTTGTTGATGATGTTTGTTTTAAGAAGTTATAAATAATTGTTTGTTTTTTATGTTAAAAATACAATATTTAAATTGTTTAATTAGAATTGTTTTTTTTTTTTTCTAAATCAAAAGAATATAATAATAATTTACATTTTATCATTATCATTATTAAATAATCTTATAAGAAAGGAAAGAGGAAGAAAGAAAGGTAGGGAGTGGAGCGAGAGAAAGATAATTAAAATAAGCGGGATTTTGGTTGTACGTTTAAAACGGTAAACTGGCCACAAACATATTCTCAATGAGAGCCGGTGCTGGCACTAAATCTTCCAACTTCAAATAGAATATTCTCTGCAGACCTTGCACGCTAAGCGACCGCAGTTCGGGTAGCTTGCCCAACAGCCGACTGAAATAGTGGGGTTTCTTTTGAGCCTCAGCATTGTAGGTGACATGATCGCGCAGACTGCCAATGATTTTCATTTGTAGCTGTTCCACTTTTTTTGGTTCTCGCAGGCCATGGCGGTCTGTAAAATGAAAGAAAAATAAGAAATAAATATTTAAAGAATATATTAGAATTAAGTAAAAAATATTATTAATTCTATCAATCATTTCAGTCTGTCTTATTTTGGGAAATTGATCCATCAGCTTGAACTGGTCGAAAAATATGGCTCGTTTTAAAAACATACTCATCCCTGCTCGTCTACAATAATTTTCTACCAGTTCGTCTATAAAAATGCTCGTCCTAGCTCATCTTAAAAGACACCCCTCAACTCGTCTAAAAAGACTCCTTTCGTCTCGTCTTCCGACTCGTCTAAAAAGGTTCGTATTCAACTCGTCTAAAACAGATTTCATTCAACTCGCCCAAACGATTTTCTTCAACTTGTCTAAATACTCTCCCTTACTAGTTTCTCTAAAAAGACTCCCTTCAACTCGCCTAAAAAGGCTCCCTTCAACTATTCTAAAAGGGCTCCTTTCAAAGCTTATTTAAAAATACTCCCTTCAACTCGTCTAAAAAATAATCCCTTCAACTCGCCTAAAAAGACACCCCTAAACTCGTCTAAAAAGACTCCTTTTAACTCGCCTAAAAAGGCACCCCTCAACTCGTCTAAAAAGACACCTTTCAACTCGTATAAAAAGATTCCTTTCAACTAGTCTAAAAAGACTCCTTTCAACTCGTGTAAAAAGACTCCTTCCAACTAGTCTAAATAGACTTCCTTCAACTCGCCTAAAAAGACTCCCTTCAACTCGCCTAAAAAGACTTCCTTCAACACGTCTTAAAGGACTCTTCGTCTAAATACTCTGGATTCAGCTCGTCTTTGAAGACACCCTACTACCGATTGACTATCCCTCTGTCTAATCTGTCCATAAAAATGCCTCCCCTTTTCACTTCGTCCAAACGAACTCCCCTCTTACTCACCAGTTATCAGTGTCAGGGCGCAGAGGCAAGCAAATGCAGATATGTCGATTTCCAAGCTATGAAGACTTTTGCTAAACTCCAGGATACCATTTAGCCAATCGCCAAAGGAACGTTGACACTGGCTTCGATGCAAAACAATGCCATTGCAAAAGGTCATTTTAGTATCGTCGACACGGGCACGATACGATAGCCGTAACACAAACAGCTCTAGGGAGGCAGATTGCAACAGTAGTTCCTGGTCTTCCTGTGTCAAATCGGAATAACCTGGAATTTTCTCGGCAAATTGTTTTATGACATCCACCGATGTGGTTAGGAGATTATAGAATTGTTGGACCTTTTCGGCTTCACTCATCACCAGCGGTAGATCGGCTTGGCCAGGTTCACGATACTGGGAATAGTCAAGGCAGGATGGATCGGGTGTGGTATCGACATGGGAACGTACCAAAGCTGTTATCAACGAAACGGGTGGTGAGGGCGGCGATTCCTGTGGTGATTTTGGTTTGGAGGGCAAACGACCTCGTCGTCCCTTTAGCGAATCTGTGCGTACCACCTCCTTGACCATGCCGACGGCTAGACATTTTTGGAAACGACAAAATTGACAACGATTGCGACGACGCTTATCGACGGGACAATTTTTATCGGCCAAGCAAACATATTTGGAACCTTTTTGGACGGTACGTTTAAAGAAGCCCTTACAACCCTCACAGGTGCGAACGCCATAGTGTTGGCAGGCTGCAGTGTCACCACAAACGGCACACAGCTGCGAGGGGGGTGTGGGTATAACTCGGCCATTAAGCATATCGGACGCTGATTGATTCATTTGATGATGATGGTGGTGGAGCTGTTGTTGCTGATGGAGACTGGGCGTTGAGCTTTGCTGTCGTACACTGGGCGAATTTGAAGCGGAACTTGGAGCACTCGCCAGTGTCGCATGTTGATGCTTGAGATGCAATGTTGTATTTGTGGAACCTATTACCAATTTAGGAAGCTTTGGACTATGATTGCTGAGCGGCGATTCGGAACGATTCACTGGCAACGAAGCACGTCGCAATGGGGCCAAGGCGGCAGCGGAGGCCACAGCGGTAGCCGCCTCTAACTCGGACATGGTGGGAAATATGGGTAGGCTGTAACGTTCCGCCGTCGAAGAATGGTAATTCTGGAAAAAGAAACAAAGAGAATGGAAGAGAAAAATAATTACTTTATGAATAAGAAAGCTTTAACTCAGTCTACAGAGACTCTCCCCAGCTCGTCTATAGAGACTCTCTCCCCAGCTCGTCTATAGAGACTCTCTCCCCAGCTCGTCTATAGAGACTCTCTCCCCAGCTCGTCTATAGAGACTCTCTCCCCAGCTCGTCTATAGAGACTCTCTCCCCAGCTCGTCTATAGAGACTCTCTCCCCAGCTCGTCTATAGAGACTCTCTCCCCAGCTCGTCTATAGAGACTCTCTCCCCAACTCGCCTATAGAGACTCTCTCCCCAACTCACCTATAGAGACTCTCTCCCCAACTCACCTATAGAGACTCTCTCCCCAGCTCGCCTATAGAGACTCTCTCCCCAGCTCGCCTATAGAGACTCTCTCCCCAGTTCGCCTATAGAGACTGCCTTCCCCTTGCTCTCGTCTATTGAGAGACCCCCATAATCTCCTCTATTGAGAGACCCCCATCATCTCGTCTATTAAGACTCCCTTCCTCTCATCTACTGAGAGACTCCCTTCCTCTCATCAACTGAGAGACTCCCTTCCTCTCCTCTATTGAGAGACTCCCTTCCTCTCCTCTATTGAGAAACCCCCTTCCTCTCCTCTATTTAGAGACACCCTTCTTCCCGTCTATTGAGACTCTCTTTCTTCCTTCCATTGAGACTCCCTTTTTCTCGTCCACTGATACTACCCTCCTCTCGTCTATTGAGATTCCCTTTCTCTCTTCAGTTCTTCTATAAAGCCTCTCTTTCGTTTTAAAGCTTCAAATTCCATTCTACTTACATTTGGTTGTGTATTCAGATTATATTGATGATAGAAATTCTCTCCCGAGGTGGAGGTATTAAAACTGCCCGAGGTCTCAGTGCCATTGGTGAATTCGTATGGCGACGAAGAGACCGACGATGTCGAAGAGGCTGGTGTGGTGGTTGCATTAAAATGGCCATGATAGTTGAAATTGTTGGAATTCTGTTGTTGTTGTTGCGTGTGATGTTGATGATGGGTCTGTTGTGGAAGATGTGGCTGCTGTTGGGTCGCCGACTGCTGTTGTTGCTGCTGCTGCTGATTTCCCAATAAGCTGTTGTGATTGTTGCCCAGCTGTGAATGGTGCTGCTGCTGCTGTTGGTTGTGAAGATGTTGTTGCTGCTGATGTTGGTGATGGTGATGATGTGTTTGAGCCTGATTTAATGCCGGTCCTCCAATACCCTCACCGGACGAGGTGTTTAGCGGAAAGCAATCTTCATCCATTTTTATTTGCAGGTCACTGGTCGAAACTGTACTGGCCGAACCGCCTGTGGGTGTTGTGCCGTATTTGAGCGAATAGGTTTCTTCAAAGCTGGGCAGCGACAGGGGCCCACCTAGCGGTGATAGTAAGGGATCACCAACCCCTCTTACCGAACCTCCAGCCGTGGATGTCTGGTGCTGCTGCTGTTGTCGTTCTTGTAATGCGTGCAGGGCTATGGCCGGGTCACTGCTTGATCTTAGACTTAGCAAACCGATTTCCTGCGGCGTTGAACGATCAAAACACAAGGAGCTATGATCGGCCTCCGAATTGGAAGTGGTTCTCAAGCTATGTTGTTCAGGTATCGATGACAGTCGTTTTTCACGCAGGCACGTTAATTTTGTGAGATTCTCCAGGGACGAGGTAATGTCCTCACTGCTGCCCACCAGGGTTTCACACGACGAATGGAGATCTTGCAACTGGCTGTGGTGGTGGTGATGCGAATGATGATGGTGGTTGTGCTGCGTGGAAGAATCCGCTTCCCGAATTGGGTTACTGTCTAGGGTGGGTGAGAGCAAGGATTGATTGGAATCGGTAGGAAAAAATAAATCGGAAAGCTGATTAAAGGTGTGATCAATCAATTCCGAATGTTCGGAGGTGGTCGTATCGGTCAGATTGCCAATTAGATGATCTTCGGTGGCCACCGATAGCAGATGTGGAGTTGTGTTGCCAGCCAATGTTGTTGTTGTACTGTGATGTTGCTGATGATGATGGTGGTGGTGGTGGTGATGAGGGTGGTGATGCGAATGTTGTTGAGACTGATGGTGCAGTTGTTGCTGAGGCTGCTGATGTTGTTGTTGCTGCTGATGCTGGTGTTGTTGCTGATTGCCCGATTGCGAGGAAAAATTATCGAACGGAGAAAGAGTACCGAAAGTGTTCTGTAATGGAAGGCAGTTGGAAAAAGACTAAAATTAACAACAACTCAAATAAATGAAATATCTGCAAAAGCAAAAAAAAAACAAAAATATTATGACACGCACAAAAAAGTGTTCAATTGAAATCGAAAGTGCGGTGGAACCAAAAGCAAGGCTTTTTAGAAGGAGGTGCTGTTCCGGGCATTAGACATGCGCATTTATGTTCTTCGCATAAGGTTTGTGGGGACTAGAGAACGGATAACTAAATATGATTGGCAGTTATTGCTTGGATGTCTGTCTGGCGGTCTGTCTGTTTTGGCTTCACTCCCTTCATAAGTCTTCATCGCTTTTTCGCATTCAACTTATTCATGGTAATGAATTTTTTATGTGCCCATTAAGTCTTCACCAAGTCTTCGTTAGACAACTGAGTTTTTTTTCTTCAGTTTTTCCAACTACAACCCCCCTATTGTAACGGATTTTCCAACAAATTTTCCGACACACACTTAGTTGTTGTTTTTTTCTTTTCAAAGGAGGTGTTGTTTGTTTTCATTGGACGATAATTTGTTAATTGGTTGCGGTTAATGGTACTCCATTGTCATTTGTCCGCACCACCATTAAGGTGTCATCTTTGGCGTATAGAAATGTAATTAGTAAGGTATTGTTATGACTATGGTTGTTGTTGTGTCATTGTTTTATGATTTTGCAAAAAACAGAAGAGGTTCTCTAGAAAAATTTTGCATGTCAAAATAAATCATAATTTAAATCAATTGTTAGGATTTTCTGCGAACTCCGTCATTGGCCAGGGATAAACAAAGGAGTTTCAAGAGAGAAGCAGAAGGGAGTAATTTTGTATGAAAGAAAGAGATTCTCTATGGACGAGCCGGTGGTCGTCTTTATAGACAAATTGGAAGTAAAGGAGGTCAGGTCGTCTTCTATAGACGAGCTGGAGAGGCAGGTCGTCTTCTATAGACGAGCGGGAGAGGCAGGTCGTCTTCTATAGACGAGCGGGAGAGGCAGGTCGTCTTCTATAGACGAGCGGGAGAGGCAGGTCGTCTTCTATAGACGAGCGGGAGAGGCAGGTCGTCTTCTATAGACGAGCGGGAGAGGCAGGTCGTCTTCTATAGACGAGCTGGCGAGGCAGGTCGTCTTCTATAGACGAGCCGGAGAGGCTGGTCGTCTTCTATAGATGAGCCGGAGAGGCTGGTCGTCTTCTATAGACGACCGGGAGAGGCTGGCCGTCTTCTATAGATGAGCCGGAGAGGCTGGCCGTCTTCTATAGACGAGCTGGAGAGGCAGGTCGTCTTCTATAGACGAGCTGGAGAGGCAGGTCGTTTTCTATAGACGAGCCGGAGAGGCTGGTCGTCTTCTATAGACGAGCCGTGGGAGGTCAGGTCGTCTTCTATAGACGAGCCGTGGGAGGTCAGGTCGTCTTCTATAGACGAGCCGTGGGAGGTCAGGTCGTCTTCTATAGACGAGCCGTGGGAGGTCAGGTCGTCTTCTATAGACGAGCCGTGGGAGGTCAGGTCGTCTTCTATAGACGAGCCGTGGGAGGTCAGGTCGTCTTCTATAGACGAGCCGGAGAGGCTGGTCGTCTTCTATAGACGAGCCGGAGAGGCTGGTCGTCTTCTATAGACGAGCCGGAGAGGCTGGTCGTCTTCTATAGGCGAGCTGGTAAGACAGGTCGTCTTCTATAGGCGAGCTGGTGAGGCAGGTCATCTTCTATAGGCGACTGTTCGTCTTGTAAGACTCCCAACCCTTCATCTCTTCTAGACGCTCTTCCCTTCCCAACCCTTCAGCTCGTCTCTAGAGATTATCTCTCCTTCCCAACTCTTCGGCTCGTCTATAGAGACTTCCTTCCCTAACCAACCCTTCATCTCTCTGCAGAGATTCTCTTCCCTTCCCCACCCTTCAGCTCGTCTATTGAGACTCCCTTATCTTCCCAGCCCTTCATCACGCCTATAGAGACTTTCTTCGTTTCAGCTCGCCTATAGAGACTCCCTTCGCTTCAGCTTCCCTATAGAGACTCCCTTCGCTTCAGCTCGCCTATAGAGACTCCCTTCGCTTCCGCTCGCTTATAGAGGCTGCCTTCGCTTCCGCTCGCCTATAGAGGCTGCCTTCGCTGCAGCTCGCCTATAGAGGCTGCCTTCGCTGCAGCTCGCGTATAGAGGCTGCCTTCGCTGCAGCTCGCCTATGGAGGCTGCCTTCGCTGCAGCTCGCCTTTAGAGACCCCCTTCGTTTCATCTCTCCTATAGAGGCTCCCTTCGCTTCAGCTGGCATATAGAGGCTCCCTTCGCTTCAGCTCGCCTATAGAGACTCCCATCGCTTCAGCTCGCCTATAGAGACTCCCTTCGTTTTAGCTCGTCTATAGAGACTGTGAATACTCCCCTTCTAGCTTGTCTATGAAGATTTGCTTAAGTCCGTCTCTCCCCCTCCCTTGTTCTTGGATAAAATAAAAAGTTATTCTAAGCGGAAAGTGTCCCCTCCAAATAGTACCTCCTTCTAAGGTTCTTGAAGCATTTTCGGAATCGGATTCTCCGCAAAATTTTGAAAGCGTATTACTTACATTTGGTTGCAATAGTAACATGCTTGTTGTCGTAGCGTTGTTTAGACGTGCCTTCGAATTATGTTGGTTATTGCTTAGGGATCTGGTAGAGGCCGACGAATATGAGACGGAGCTTGAAGATTTGGCAGCTGAAGTTGATATGGACGATGCTGTTGTTGTGGCTGCCTGAGATGAGGATGCTATTGTGGGTGTTGCAGAAACAATCGCTGCTGCTGCTGCTGAGAGTGAGTCTTGTTCCGTTTGCTTTTCGGTTTTTATTTGTACAATTTTATTGCGATTGTTGTTGCTATTGCTCTGCTGTAATGTTGTTGTTATGCCGGGGATGGTTGTTGTTGCGCTTAATGCCGAGTTGTTATTATTGTTGGTTTTGTTGCTTACAGCCGTGTTTGCATTTATTATTGCTGAGATCTTCGGTGGTGTAGTTGTTGTTACTGCTGCTGTTCCTCCCGTTGCCTTACTGGGTGAACTTCTATTTAATGTTATTGTAGTTGTTGTTGCCGTTGTCAATTCTGAACCCGACGTTGTCGCCGCCACTACTACTACCCCACTTGGACCAGTGGTGGGTGTTGTTGTTGACGGTGCTGATGCTGGTGGTGGTGCTGTTGCACGTTCTTCTTGTAAATTGGCGCTGGTGTTAAATGCTGCACCTGTAACAGACCATAACGGAAAAGAAGAAGAAAAAACATCCCATAAATACAATGAAGTTATAATGGAATTAAAATGAAGCTCTAAACCAATCCAATCTGTTTCTATATTTTTACATTTGGCAGCATGAGTTCCAGGGAATCTCCGTGGAATCTTGTGGAGTCTAACAATTTTGGCATTTAAAAATGATGGAGGAAAAAAAACGTAAATAGAAACAGAAACAACACCAACAAGTCCTCACCAAATGTTATTAATTTATGTGATTAGTTATGGTTTAATACAATCAGAGAGACAGACACACACACATTCATGCATAAAATAAAACAAAGCATAACATGGAGGAAAAGTTAAATGGTTAATGAGTTTTAATAACAACAACAGCAAAAATATAAAGGAAAATAATGGCCAAAGATGGGCAGAGACGAATGTAAAATAAGCTACTTAGGAAGTCTTAAAGAGGTTTCTATCGTTAGAAGAGCTAGCAGAGGTCTTCTATCTACAGGAGAGCTCAAAGAGGTATTATAATCATAGGAGAGCCCAGGCAGTTAATCTGCTTATAGGAAACTCCAAAAAGTCTTCTCTCCATAGAAAAGCTTAAATAGGTCTTCTATGCAGGACAAAACTCGAAATGGTTTTTCACCTTCTCTGAAAAGACCACTTGGATCTTTACGGGAGGATCTTGGGTCTTCTATGAGAATATCAACTGGCCTTCTATCAGAAGGGCTTCATCTGGTCTTTTATGAGAAGACCTTCTCCTGGTCTTCTATGATAAGGGCTTCTTTTGGTTTTCTTTGAAAAGACCTTCTCTGGTCTTCTATGAGAAGGCCTTCGTCTGGTCTTTAAAGAGAAGGTCTATTTCTGGTCTTCTATGAGAAGACCTTTTGGTCTTCTATCGGAGAATACCTTCTGGTCTTCTAAGAGAGAATACCTTCTGGTCTTCTAAGAGAGAAGATTATTTGGTCTTCTAAGAGAGAAGATCTTATGGTCTTCTAAGAGATAAGATATTCTGGTCTTCTAAGAGAGAAGACCTTCTGGTTTTCTAGAGAAAAGACATTCTGGTCTTCTATAAGAGAATACCTTCTGGCCTTCTAAGAGAGAATAACTTCAGATTTTCTTATGGAGATCACCTTCTGGTCTTCTATAAGAAAACTTTCTGGTCTTCTATGAAAAGAATTTCTGGACTTTTATAAAAAGATCTTTTGAAAAGATCTATGGGTCTTTTATAAGAAGATTTTCTGGTGTTCTATGGGAAAACTTTCTGGTCTTCTAAGAAAGAAGTCCTTCTGGTCTTTTAAATGAGAAAACCTTCGAGTCTTATATAGAAGAAGACTTTCTTGTCTTCTGTGAAACGAACTTCGGGTCTTCTATGGGAGAAGACCTTCTGGTCTTCTATGAAAGAAGTCCTTCTGGTTTTCTATGGGAGAAGACCTTCTGTTCTTCTATTGAAGAAGACTTACGGGTCTTCTATGAAAGAAGTCCTTCTGGTTTTCTATGGGAGAAGACCTTCTGTTCTTCTATTGAAGAAGACTTACGGGTCTTCTATAAGAGAAGTCTTTTTCGTCTTCTATTAGAGAATACCTTCTAGTCTCCTATAAGAGGAGACCTTCTGGTCTTCTATAAGAGAAGAACTTTCGGGATTCTGTAAGAGAAGACCTTTCTGGCTTCTATAAGAGAGAACCTTCTAATAAAATACCTTAGGTCCTCAATGAGAAGACCTTCCTGTCTACTATGAAAACCTTCGAGTCTTATATAAAAGAAGACTTTCTTGTCTTCTGTGAGACGAACTTCGGGTCTTCTATGGGAGAAGACCTTCTGGTCTTCTATGAAAGAAGTCCTTCTGGTTTCTATGGGAGAAGACCTTCTGTTCTTCTATTGGAGAAGGCCCACGGGTCTTCTATAAGATAAGACTTTTTCGTCTTCTATTAGAGAATATCTTCTAGTCTCCTATAAGAGAAGACCTTCTGGTCTTCTATAAGAGAAGAACTTTCGGGATTCTGTAACAGAAGAACTTTCGGGATTCTGTAAGAGAGGACTTTCGGGCTTCTATAAGAGAGGACCTTCTAATAAAATATCTTAGGTCCTCAATGAGAAGACCTTCCGGTCTACTATGAGAAGACCTTCGGGCCTTCTACGAGAAAAAAATCAGATCTTCTAATGGGTAGATGATATCTCTGAGTGATTTTATATGGGCATATCGAAGACCTATGGGAAAGGCTTTTTATGCGTGTATGCAAAAGCTCTCTGAGAGCCCTTCTATAGGTATATGGAAGAGTTCTCAAAGAGGGCTTCTAAGAGTACATAGACGAGCTCTCAGTGTGATTTAAATATGGGTATAGAGAATAGCTCTTATAGAGACCTTTTGTTCGTATACAGTAGGGCTCTCATCTCCATGTGTATAAAGAAAAGCTCTCAAGGAAGTCTATTGAGTGTATATATGAGAGGCTTCATGAAGGTCTTCCGTCTACATATAGGAGAGCCCTCAAGGAGGTGTTTTATGGGTGCAAAGAAAATCCTACAGAGAGTCATTACATGGCGAAGTGGTCTCATATTTGTATTTGTACGTATATAGAAAAGTAAATAAAGAGGTCTTCTATGTGTGTCTGGAACAGGGCCGGGCATAGGGTAACACTTTATGTTCTCCCAAAAGTTTTCAAAGTTTGAGAATTTATAGAGAATTACGCTCATTGAAGGCACGAGTACCTGATTTTGACTGGTCCTGCCCTAGAAGAGCTCCGAAAGAGCGTGGGTATATCGATTGTTCTCAAAGAACTATTCTTTGTGTGCCTGAAAGAGCTTTCAAATAAGACTTTTGTGTCGAGTAGCTCACATAAGACTTCCGGATACAAATGAGCTCTCAGAGAGCTCTTCTCTTTGTATAGAACAATTCTCAAGGAACTCTTGTATTTAGAAGAACAACTATTAGCATGGCTTTCTTTATACCATGAAACTCTCAAAGAGTTCTCATACAAATATCAATAACTCACAATGCTGAGTGTAGGGTATATCCCTCCAAAATACCTTAACCAAAGAACTATACCTTAGAGACTAATAATGACATTTAGATTCAATTCAATCGTGGAGGATTATTCTACAGTAAATAAATTGCATGTTTCTTGTTGTTGTTTGTTTCTGTTGTAGCAGTTATGTTTTTGGCCGTGTTATGTAAAGACCTCCCGTTGTGAAATGTGGCGGTACCATCTGTGCGCGGACATAAACGATCTGTCTGGAGGCGGAGTTATGGCAATAGAAGAAAACAGAAAATGAACTTTTCTAAGAAATTTCACGCTTGTGTGAATATTTGAGAAGCGAAGACTATAACAACAACCACAACAACATGAAACAAAACGAAACATGTTGTTATGGTTTGCATGTTAAGTGTGGTGGAAAATTTAGTAATAATTGCGGTTTTTTTAAGGGTGGGTAGGGCCACCAAATGAATTCCTCCAATCAGGAATGTGACATTATATTTGTTGGAATTAAAGAGGAGGGGAAATGAGATAGGAGGGTTTGGTTTTCAATGCATGTATGTATGCAGGAAATAAGCGAAGGCCTGAAGCAAGGTTCTGTCGCGGTGGAATTAATTTAGAAACATATTATCTTCGTTGAAAGTTCTTTAAAAAAATAATTTCAAAAATGTTCCCATTGAAAAAGGGCCCAAAATCTACTCCAGAAATTATCTGTGGTTGGTTGGTATTTTTAGAGGATATTTCAGTATTTTTTTCCAAAGAATAAAAATTTTGATAATATTTTTGGAATAATTTTATATGAATTGTAATTTTTAAAGCGGCGTCAGAATCTTCCTTTCTAAGCTCAAAATAATTACCTTGTTAAGGACTATAAAAACCAAGTTTGTGCACCGAATTCCTCAGAATAGACTTTGACCATAGATACTTTTAAAACCAAAAACAAACACCTCCTTCCAATTCACGTTATTTTGGGGGAGGTCCATTGCTGTTAAGTAATAAAATTTGATAAAGAGATTTATTAGCTCGCCAATAAAATTCTGGTTATGATTAAAAATGACCCCCGCCTTAGCCATTGGCCGTTTATCTTCCTCTTTTAGATTTTTTTTCGTTCACTGTTGCCATGGTAATTATACCCTCCACCTTGGAAAGGAGGGTATATTAACTTTGTCATTCCGTTTGTAACATCCCTAAATATTCGTTTTAGACCCCATAAAGTATATATATTCATAATCAGCATAAAATTCTAAGTCGATTTAACGATGTCCGTCTGTCTGTCTGTCCGTCTGTCTGTCTGTCTGTCCGTCTGTCTGTCTGTTGAAATCACGATACAGCCCACATTATTTGACGTAGAGCTCCAAAATTTAGCAGAGCTATTTGCATTGTGTCTAGGATAGTTGGTATTGAAAATGAGATATATCGGTCCACGTTCTGGTATAGTCCCCATATAACGGTACCTCCCGATATTCGGTATTTTGATGATTTATGCCACATTTTTTCACGGATTTGTCTTAAAATTGGTATTTGTAGGTCATAGCGGGTCCCTGAGCGTGTGGCAAAACATTGCATGTATAGGTCCACGTTGTGGTATAGCCCCCATATAAAGGTACCTCCCGATATTTAGTATTTTATTTTTTTTTTACCACATTTTTTCAACGATTTGTCTAAAAATTGGTATTTGTGGGTCATAATGGTTTCCAGCTCCGGTGGCGGAACATTGCATGTATGGGTCCATAATTTGGTATAGTCCCCATATAACGGTACCTCCCGATATTCGGTATTTTGATGATTTTTGCCACATTTTTTCAGGGATTTGTTCGAAAATTGGTATTTGTTGGTCATAATTGGTTCCAGCTTCGGTGGCGAAACATTGCATGCATGGGTCCATGATTTGATATAGCCCCCATATAACGGTACCTCCCGATATTCGGTATTTTGATGGTTTTTGCCACATTTTTTCACTGATTTGTCTAAAAATTGATATTTGTGGGTCATAATGGGTTCCAGCTCCGGTGGCGAAACATTGTAATTATAGGTCC